AGTTTGTTCTACTCCGTCAAAATGACGGACTGCTTTCAGATTTTTCCATCATTGTTAAAAAGAATCCGTCATAGACGGAAAATATTCGGTTAACGCGACCTCTGGGTGGAGTTCCGGTATTGAACAGGGAGCCAGTGCAGTGCAGAGAATGGGGTGATCTGTAGCAGCAGATCTGTATCATCTTGAGGAGTTTGTTGGGAAGAGAGGACAAAGTACAAGTTACCTGGATGCCTGGGTCCATCAGTATGTGAGTGGCCCTCATACTGTAGGTGATATAATGGAGAACAATAAGAGCTGATCATGTACACTACATGTGGAGTCGATTATGTGAGAGGACTCTCTGTGCGTCGGCAACTGTGTTAAATGTTTTTTGATAGTTTAGATATTTATGTCTCATTTCTGGTCCCTTTTCTTCCAGTCGTGGTTGTTTTCCCGCCATCGTCAGTGTCTGTCCCGCCCGTGATTGTTTCCACCTGTGTCCACTTACCTCTTGTATATAGTGTCCTGTCTCCCTTTGTTTGTTGCCAGATTGCCTTGAGTCTTTTGCCAAACTCTCCAGCGTTATCCAAATTATTCTAGTTATCGTTACGGTCATACAGTATAAAACAGCAAAAAGTACTCATGACCCTAGAATTCTGTTTACTGTAAGTACAGTCAAGGTTCTTAGTTATAATTAAGTACACAAATGACATCACCCATCTCTCAAGAGAGCTAAAGATGACCTGTGCAGCAACACATTTCAATTAATATTTCTCAATACTAAGAGCCACTAGATTGTGCTGCTGTAATGGAATATGTATGCAAGGAGGATAAAAACATACCATTTGGCCCAGCTGGAGTTTCATCTGCCTCCTGAACCCTGCCTCTGGCCCTCTTTCTGATACTTCATCTTTATTCCTCACATTTCTTCTTCTTCACTAATGTCTTCATCTCCTCCTGGCTTTCTCCTGCTCTGAGTCTCCTGGTCTCTTCAGTGAACTCTTTTTTCCTTTTCCTCTTTCTGTTCTTCCTGATCACTTCTCAGATATGTCTTTGTGTTGTTGTTGTTGTTGTTGTTGTTGTTGAATCACTCCAGCTACTCTGTCCTGCAAGAGTCTGCTTGTGGAAAGCACTGGTACAAATGTTTGTATAACTTTACACGTTAGGGCCATGTAGCTAATAAGTAGCATATACTAAATATCAAATAAGAAAGTATTTATCAAACGCACACAGGCAGCTGTGTTTGACGGCAAAGGATGTATCCTGGTTTAATTTATCTGGCCTCATTGCTGTGATGTGTAATTTACGTGGATTTAATAGTAGGCTTACTGCATAGTTTAGCAAATAAAGTGATCGATCTCCCAGCTAGCTAGCGCTGTCTGTGTAGTATTTTGTAACGTAACGTCCCAAACAGCGACCGTCTGTTAAACGCTATCGATTCAAACAGGAGCATTTTATTAATATTTAGTTTCAAGCTCTCGTCCTTAGTAAAAACAAAACTAGTGGAAGGGGAGATTCTCCCAGGGGAAGCTGATCCACCTCCAGGTGCTGGTCCACCTTCAGGTTCTAGGACAGCTCGCTCCCTCTCTGTAGCTGTGTGAGCCGCGGTCTGTGAACGCCGCTCCGCAGTTTAATGCAGAGCCGTAGCTGCGTTTTTAACGGGCCTAAAATGATATTTAAAATCATTCAATGTAATTATTGAACTGCTTGTTTTGTTGCTTGAGAAGCTTGTGGACAAAGTGTAGGTTTGTTTCTACAAGTACAGTTTTAGGGGGACACAATTTAGGGGGCAGCTGCCCCACCTTGCCCCCCTGTAGATCCGCCCCTGTAGTCAGGTAAGATTAGGCAATAGTATTTTTCTAGGTTTTTTGTTAGATAAGCGTTAGTGTAGATGTATCTTTGTATGCATTTTTCTGGATCTGCCGATCCTGTGTTTTTTGTATTCATTATATTTTTGTACTATACTACTTTTCAAGTACAGACTCTTTTTGATACTTGAATCCTGTGTCTGCATTCGTGCTTTTGGGTTCATTCCGTGTACACACGTGACAGTACAATCTGGCCAATAAGCATGGACCCAGCTGAGTCAGACCCAGTGAAAGCAGCATTACGCGCACAGGGTGCGCGTCTGCACAACCATGAGGAGCAGTTTTCAGCCATGCAGCAGGCTTTGAGAGGAATCACAGATCAACAGCAGGGTTTCCAGGTGTCTATCAACTCCCAAGTCGGCCAGGTAGCAGATACATCTAGAGCGTAGAGCTGTTGAGGCATGGACCGTTTATATACAAGTGAAGATTGTATGGGCTCAGAACAGTCTCATAATACACACATGCACACAGAAGGATTCAAACTTGTATTTCCGGATCCATACTTGTGTTTTTCAATGCACACACAAATGTATTCCGTTTCATATACATGTAAATAAAATCCAAATACAGAAAAAAGTTTTACATATGTATTTTTGATCCTCACTTATTAGTTTCCCGTTTAAATCCCCTGAACCTGCAAACACAAACAGCTTTCTGTGCACGGATCGCTTTGCATTCGTGTGTGGGTTTTTTGAGACTCCCCTGACGGTCAGCCGATTCGTACTTGTAATTTGTTCTATCTATAGCCAATCAGATGTCTCCTTCATTCTAAGCCAATCACATGAGCGCGCCCCCACCAGGGTAAGATTACTTCATATACGCATTTTGCGCAGTCCGGTCAGCTCGCTAAACAGAGGGCGGAGCATCAGGTGATCATGCAGAGCAGCGTGTCTCCATCAGACTCAGCAGCTGATCTGATCTCTCTCTCGCGTCCGGTTATACTTCACTCGCGTTTATGTCCATATCGATCAGATCCAGCTCTCCTGATCGGCCTTTATAGAGAGCACCGATCAAACTATATCGGCCGGTAATGACCGGCGGGGCTCCCCCCCGTTAACAGGTCACTGTCTAGCACTGGCTTCGTAGTGCACTGATCGATTAGGCTAAGCTAACCTGTAGCTGCTCCCTCCACACTCACAACAACTTCATACAGACATAAATAAAGCAGCTGTATTCGCCATACAGGAAACACACATTTAAAACGGTTTTGCCTGCCGTTTTTGTGTACACAAGCATTCATCAATGGTTCGGAAAGTGGCGCTGTACCTTAATAATATAAAGGCTTGTATTTGCGTGCATTTCCTGTTCGGAAAGTGGCAATGTAGCCTACTGAGAGTGGAGGTGTCCTGAGATTAGCGCCTGCAGGCAGGCTCCATTGACCTGTCAGCTCCGGACTGCGCAAAATGCGTACATGAAGCGCTACGTCATGAACGCAAGAAATCTACCCTCGTGGGGGCGCGCTCATGTGATTGGCTTAGAATTGACGAGACATCTGATTGGCTATAGATAGAAATAATTACAAGTACGAATCGGCTGACCGTCAGGGGAGTCTCAAAAAACCCACACACGAATGCACAGCGATCCGTGCACAAAAAGCTGTTTGTGTTTGCAGGTTCAGAGGTTTTAAACGGAAAACAAATATGTGAGGATCAAAAATACATATGTAAAACTTTTTTCTGTATTTGGATTTTATTTACATGTATATGAAACGGAATACATTTGTGTGTGCATTGAAAAACACAAGTGTGGATCCGGAAATACAAGTGTGAATCCTTTTGCAGATCATGAAATACAAGTGTGAATCCTTCTGTGCGCATGTGTGTATTATGAGACTGTTCTGAGCCCATAAGATTGGGGGACGATTGGGCCGTGTCGATTGGATTTACTGCCACATCGTGTTTCATGGCGAATGATCCGTCGGCATGGCAACGGCATTTGATAACACCCCATAATACGCTTAGATGCGTTGATGGCCGCATCGTTACCAAACCTGTGAAGTTCTGGGCTGTTTGGAGTATTTTCACTGAAGTTATGAGAAAACCGTGTTTCAAGGCGAGCATTGTGTTACCATGGCAACGGCATTTGAAGAAATCTATAAACTGTCCCGTAGATGTCTTCACGGCTGGACTGTTAGCACACTGCTATCTGAAGTCTGCTGCTCTGAGCATGTCATCTGGAGCGATGACATCCTCGTGTTCCATTACACAGGTGTTTATAGTTGAGCTAACGAGGTGTGCAGAGATCACAGGTTTCCATTGTTCTGAATGAGAGATAAACCTCTTACATGTGAACGTTTTGTGGAAGAACCGTAACAGATATCTGTGAAATTTCAAAACGTGAAGCATGTCAAGGAAGTTGAGTATCTGAAGTGTAATTTTTGTGTACTTTCGTGTTAATAATGTGGCCTTTTTGGCAGTTTAACTAAAGGTGTGCGGCTGCTACCGTGAAGAAATATCTGCCTGAAATTACAATGGGGTTTAATGGAGAAATGTTGAAGGTTTTTGAACTTCACAGGTTTGGTAACGATGCAGCCATCAACGCATCTAAGCGTAGTATGGGGTGTCATCAAATGCCGTTGCCATGGCGACAGACCACTCGCCATGAAACACGATGTGGCTGTAAGTCCAATTGACACGGTCCAATCGTCCCCCAATCTTCACTTGTATATCACCGGTCCATGCCTCAACAGCTCAACGCCAAATCTGAGATCTCACCATATGCCGTTTCCATGGAAACGCATCCCTCACCATAAAACATGATGTCGCTATAACTCCTATGAAAATGAGTGTGCTAACAATCCCGCCGTGAAGACATCTACGGGACAGTTTTGAGATTTCTTCAAATGCCGTTGCCATGGCAACACAATGCTCGCCTTGAAACACGGTTTTCTCATAACTTCAGTGGAAATGCTCCAAACGCCCCAAAACTTCACAGGTTTGGTAACGATGCAGCCATCAACGCATTTAAGCGTATTATGGGATGTCACCAAACGCCGTTGCCATGGCGACAGATCATTCACCATCAAGTTAGTTCAAAAGTTTGCAGTTCAAGTATTCTGCTGCTTTTCTAAGCCTTTTTACTTTCTTTTCTTCTCTCATCACACATTCAAGCCCCCAGTGTTCATGTATCATTTCAATCTAAATTCTTCACTTTCTTCTTACACATTACATTTCAGCATAGCTGTTTAGCGTTAGATTTTCAGCATGAAGCATTCCCACTAGCAATTTCTTCAGGAATTGCATTCTCTAGTTGACTCTGCTTTTGATTTGTTACAAGAGGCTAACGTTTTCACCAAACTATACCTACGTAATGCTTACCATTTGGTACGAATAAGGGAGGGGGACGAGTGGATTCAACACTCCTACAGGGCATTATGAGTACCTTGTAATGCCCTTCGGACTCACTAATGCCCCAGCTGTTTTTCAGGCGCTGGTGAATGACATACTCATTTCTGTGTTTGTTTATTTGGATGACATCCTGATTTTTTCTCCAGATGGGCAGTCACACACTCAGCATGTACATCAGGTGTTACAACGCCTACTGGAGAATCAGCTTTACGTGAAGGCAGAAAAGTGTGAGTTTCATGCATCTGCAGTCTTGTTCCTGGGGTTCATCATCTCTCCAGGACAAATCCTGATGGACCCGGCGAAGGTCAGTGTGGTTGCAGATTGGGTTACTCCCAATAGCAGGAAGAAGGTACAGCAATTTCTGGGTTTTGCACATTTCTACAGACACTTTGTAAGAAATGTTAGCTCCATTGCTGCACCATTACATGCACTGACTTCGCCGGGCGTCCCCTTTGTGTGGGGTTCCAAGGCCGAGGAGGCTTTTAAAAAACTCAAAGCGATGTTTTCCACAGCCCCCATACTAACTGTTCCTGATTATTTTAGACAGTTCTTTGTGGAGGTGGACGCCTCAAATGATGGGTTGGGGCAGGGCCAATCCTCCCTACAGGCCAATCACGCAGGCTGTATGGGGCCCTCAGCATCTGTGTGCAGTTCCCCCCCCCCCCCGCTGACGCGCTAACGACACACAAGGGGAAAATGGAAGTGAGTCTGCAACTGCGCGCACCACACCCGCTGACGCGCGAGAGTGACTGGGGAGCCTGTCTGCAACCCGACACTGTTGCAATGAATCAACATCATCACCCGTTTGATACGGCCACTATTGCAGATGAAGAGATGTCGCCGAAAAGACAGTATGATTCCGGCGCAAGCAAGAGGAAACAAAAAACGGAACATGAAGCGACTCACTAGAGCATCACTCGAAGGTGGGTTATTTGTATGAGTCAAATGTAAAACTTGCGAATGTTGTATAAGTCAAATTTCAAACTTTTGCCATTAAACACATCAGCTGCAATTCACGACATGAAGAAGGCAGTCTTCTCCATTAGCCTATATGCTATGCAGACATAACATATAGGCTAATGGAGATGCAGTTATTTCCAGCACTCTTTATTTAACATTCATTCAAGTATGTGATGCCTTTTATCTGCTAATGTACAGGAGGAAGAGTGATACACTGTCTGTCTAGTTGGCTTACATAACCGTTACGGCCCGTACACACAGCAGCTTTTGGCGATTTGTCCACCGCTTCCAGCGCGTCTCCGCCCATTGACTTTGAATGGGGATGACGTCACTTTCCCTCGCTTGTCGCCGAACTGCATTGTGGGGGGGCGAGGTGAAGATTTCCAGGATTTCCAGGATGTTCAGGATTCCAAAGTTGAACAATGTTCAACTTTTGAGGCTGAGCTGGAAGCGACAGCCAATCAGATCCGTTTATGCAAATCTGACAGTTCAAGCGCTAGCCAATCAAACCGCGTGCAAGCTGGGAGAACCAGACCGCAGTTCATTCTATATTCCTAACAAAAATGGAGGAGAAGTTAGTTATTGCGGTAGCAAATCACCCGGTTCTTTATGACCAGTCCCTATTTACTTACCGGGATACAAACCGGAGGAACCAGGCATGGAGGGAGGTGGCAGAGGCAGTGGGTGAAACTGGTAGGTTTTCGTTTGTTTGGGGATTTTATATCCAGTTTACTTCGTTGCTAGTTTACTTCGTTGCTAGCAAGCATAGACAGTATCATTAGCCAGCATGGAATGTAGCATAAAATAGCACCATAAACATTAATCTCATAAATGTTCAAAATGTTAAAAAAATAAATGTTCATCATAGCCCTTCCTATTTGACAATAGTGTAGAAGAACCGGGTTTTTTTGCTTTGTATGTCTGGGGCGGGATATTCATGTGATATTCATGTGATTGGTTGTTGGTCGCGAAATCCCCAAGCTGTCAGACACGCCCAGCTCCAGGATTTTCAAGATTTGGTCAAAGCTGCTGTGTGGACACACCGTAAAAGTTTACAGCCTAAAAAACATGGAGCATTTTTTCCCCTTTTATTAATTTTTATGTGAATTTGCACATTTCATGGTGACGCTCAGCCTCTCCCCTTAACTCCTAACAGTCATCATCATGTCAACCACAACACAGAGAAATACTGATAGAAATGTGTGAGTAGTTGTTGACACATTGCTGACAGAGGGAACTGCATTTGAATACAGATTTAAGAAATATCAGTTTTTGAGCATGTCATAAGCATGTTTTGTCTTGACTATATTACAACTATATTATAATAAAACAATATAGTATTTGTATTATTGAATTGATTATGATTATCATTATTAGTAGAAGTAGTTTATTTGCATTAATTATATTTTAATCTTTTTGAGGCTAGTATTTTCACTATATTCATTCTGTAGTGCACTATTAAGATCAAAACATATCTTAAGTCTGCTTGAATGATGGATTTATTGTCTGTCTCAGGCTCTGGCAGAAGAAGTGGCTTCATATAGGTTTTTGATATGCACAGTGGTATGGTTTGACATTCTCACCACCGTAAACCAGGTGAATAAGCTGCTGCAGTCCAGTTCAATGCAACTTGACATTGCTGTCAGACTCATTGAAACTTCAAAATCCTCTCTTGCAGCGTACAGACAGTCCGGGTTTACTGATGCTCAGTCAACTGCCAAGGAAATCTGTGAGATCCTCAACATAGAGCCAGAACTCAAGGTGAAGAGGCTGAGGAGTACAAAAAGGCAGTTTGGGTATGAAACTGCAGATGAGCCCTTCAGTGATGCTCTGAAGAAGCTTGAGGTGACATTTTTTAACACTGTTGTTGACTCTGCTCTCAAATCACTGCAAGAGAGATTTGAGACACTTAGTCAGGTCAAGGAGAAATTTGGAGTGCTGCTTAATTTCAGCCAGCTTCAAGGAATGCCCAGGGGTGACTTGCAGAAACACTGCAGCAAGGTAGAGAAGACACTTACTGCAGCAGGAGAGTCTGATATTGATGGTGCAGAGATGATCCAGGAGATCATCAACCTCCCAAAGCTGCCACTACCAAAAACTGCTCTGGAGATGTTGTCATTTCTTGATGAAAAAGAGTTACAGGAACTGTACCCAAATCTTTGGATTGCCCTCCGCATTGCAGTAACTCTTCCTGTTACAGTTGAGTCTGCTGAGAGAAGCTTTTCAAAACTCAAGCTTATGAAGACATACCTCCGGTCGTCAATGGCACAAGAACGCTTAGGTGGCCTGGCTATCATAAGCATCAACGCACAGTTGGCACAGCAGCTTTCATACGATGACCTTGTTGATGACTTTGCATCCAGGAAATGCAGAAGTGTTCACTTGTAAACGCATACTGAAAGACATACATGCACATTGACCTGACTGTATAAATATGTTACTGTGTTGTTTATAATAATATAAAATTACTTAACTACTTAGTCTTCCAAACATTTTTTTAATCCAAGCTACTTGGGGGGGCCTCATCACACAATCTCGCTTGGGAAGTTGGCCTGGGTGGGGGCAAACCTCTCACAACGGGCTGCTAAGAACAATAAAATGCATCCCTGTTCCTTTCTGTCTCGTAAATTGTCTCCTGCAGAAAGGAATTACGATGTCGGAAACAGAGAACTGTTGGCAGTCAAGGTGGCTCTGGAGGAATGGAGACACTGTGTGGTGTCTAGACAGTTGTGTTAAGTTAATTTATTTAGTTCAGTCCTTTTGTCTTTTGCCTTGTCTTGTGATTTCCTGTTTTATTTTGTAGTAACCTTTCCCTCTCGTTTCAGAGCATTCCTGCCCTGGTGTGTTTTTCCCACCAGTGTGATTGTCAGCCCCTCCCTTAATTGTTGCCACCTGTGTCCCCTTACCTAGTGTGTATATATAGTCTGCGTCTCCCTTTGTCTTGTGTCAGTTCGTCTTGTCTCGTCAAGCCTGCCAGTCATCCCTTGATCGTGTGAAGTATATTTTTGATAGTCATGTAGATGTTTTTTGGTTTAGAGTTTTTGATCCTCCAAGTGAGCGTTTTGTATTTGACCTTAATTAAAAGACTTTGTTAATTCTAATCTGTTTCTGGTGTTGTGCATTTGGGTCCTGAACCTCGTGACATTCTTAACAGTACGAACTGACCAAAGAATGGACCCAGCCGACCCAGACAGGTTCAGAGCAGCTCTGCGCTCACAAGGCACGCTTTTGTCTCAGCATGACGATCAGCTGAAATCAATTGACCAGGGAGTGAGAGAATTGAGTGGTCGTCAAGAAAGCTTCCAAACATCTGTGAACAGCCAAGTAAACCACCTGGCAGATCAGCTTGTTCGTGTCCTTGCCCACCTGGAAGCTGGATCTCAAACTGTTTCCGCGGCTGCACCCCTGCCTGAGGCTGTGATCCAAGGACCTACTTCTTCTTCATGCTCTCGTCTCGCATCTCCAGAGAAATTCTCCGGTCCTTTTTTAGTCCAATGCGACCTGCATTATCAACATCAGCCTTCTGCTTTTCCAACAGACCAGTCTAGAATAGCTTTCATGATAACACACTTGACTGGTAGAGCAGCAGCGTGGGCTACAGCAGAATGGGCTAGAGACTCTCCCCTTTGCAGATCACTCGGACTGTTTACTGATTCCCTTAAAAAGATTTTTGATCGTACAGCGCCAGGGAGAGAAGCGGCTAAAGCTCTAGTTCAACTCAAGCAAAGAAATCAAAGAGTGTCTGATTATGCCATAGAGTTTAGGACAATAGCAGCAGACAGTGGCTGGAATGATCTGGCCTTGCTGGACGCCTTTGTAAATGGACTTTCAGGCCTTGTCAAAGATCACTTAGTCCCATTAGATCTTCCAGAAGATTTAGACTCTGTGATTGCTCTGGCTATACGAATAGATAATAGGCTCTGGGATAGACAAAAAGAAAGAGAACATCCTGCAGTTCGTTCACCAAGCTCCAGGGGGCCTCCTCGTGGCATCCGGATGAGGGAGGATTCGTTTCCAGGGGTCTGGATCAAGCCTCCTTTGACAACGCCATCCACCACATCAGAGGAACCCATGCAACTTGGCCGAGCAAGACTTTCACTGGAGGAGCGGGAACGGCGCCTCCGCCAGGGCCTGTGTTTCTACTGCGGGCATCGTGGACACCTGATGGCCGCTTGCTCACTAAAAGACGGGGCTCCCCAGGCAAGAGGAGGGCGCTGGTGAGCCGACTAACTTCTGACTACTCTCCTCGTACGCTGACTCCTATCCAAGTAAAATTAGGTAAGAAAACCTTAACACAGAATGTTCTCATTGATTCAGGAGCAGACGAAAGTTTTATGGACTGGAATTTTGCCAAAAGCTTGAACATTGTCACCATGCCCTTAGCTCAACCTTTAAATGCCAGTGCCCTTGATGGAAGATTATTGTTTCAAGTCACTCACCACACAGAACCCGTCCAGGTTATCATAAATCACAACCACACAGAATTCATGACATTCCATTTATTCGACTCCTCACAACACCCTATGATTTTAGGCTTCCCATGGTTGAAAATACATAACCCTCACATTGACTGGCGTTCTGGTAGGGTGAAGGGTTGGGGAAGAGAATGTAATCATACATGTTTGGTTTCACCAGGAGAAGTTGAAGGGCTGTCTGTAGGAAGGGTTACTTCAGGTAGTGAGGTGGAGACGAAGGAAGTAACTCATGACCATGCCTCTGACTTACCAGACCTGCCCAATGTTCCCTCCTGTTACCACAACCTGAGGGAGGTTTTCAGTAAGACTCGGGCCTCTACGTTGCCTCCTCATCGACCTTATGACTGTGCAATTGACTTACTACCGGGTGCCCCCATTCCCAAGGGACGTCTATACTCAATTTCTGGTCCTGAAAGACAATCTATGACGGATTACATTGACTCATCTCTGAAGGCGGGCCTCATTCGTCCATCGTCATCTCCTGCTGGCGCCGGATTTTTCTTCGTGGGTAAAAAAGACGGATCCCTCCGACCCTGCATAGACTACTCTCCCCTGAATGATATAACGGTAAAAAACAGGTACCCTCTCCCCCTCATTTCCACTGCTTTTGAACTGTTAAAAGGAGCTAAGATCTTCACTAAACTTGACTTGAGGAATGCCTATCACTTGGTCAGGATAAGGGAGGGGGACGAATGGAAGACTGGATTCAATACCCCCAGTGGCCACTATGAATACTTAGTAATGCCATTTGGGCTAACTAATGCTCCTGCTGTATTTCAGGCTCTTGTGAATGACGTGCTCAGACAATATTTGAATCATTTTGTGTTTGTCTACCTGGATGATATATTGATATTCTCTCCTGATGAAGAGTCCCATGTTCAGCATGTCCGCCAGGTCCTCCAAGGCCTTCTGGAAAACCAACTATTCGTGAAGGCGGAGAAATGTGAATTTCACAAGACCACTGTCTCATTCCTGGGCTTCATCATTGCTCCGGACCAGGTCAAGATGGATCCAAGCAAGGTCAGTGCTGTCGCAAATTGGCCCACACCCACCAACAGGAAGAAGGTACAGCAATTTCTCGGTTTTTGCTAACTTCTACAGACGTTTCATAAGACATTTTAGCTCCATAGCTGCACCTCTCCACTCACTCACCTCAACCCATGTTCAGTTTTTGTGGACTCTACAGGCCGACAAAGCTTTCCAGGAATTGAAAAGACGGTTTACCTCTGCTCCTGTTCTCATCACTCCTGATTCACTACGGCAGTTTGTGGTGGAGGTGGATGCTTCCAATGATGGAGTTGGGGCTGTGTTGTCACAACGTTCAGCCAAGGACAGCAAACTTCACCCATGTGCTTTTCTGTCACGTAAGTTAACACCTGCTGAACGCAACTATGATGTAGGCAACAGAGAACTTTTGGCAGTCAAAACAGCGCTTGAGGAATGGAGACACTTTCTGGAGGGGTCAGAGCAACCATTCATAGTCTGGACGGATCATAAAAATCTTGAGTACATCCGAAAAGCTAAGAGACTGAACTCACGTCAGGCAAGATGGGCTTTGTTCTTCACTCGTTTTAACTTTTCCTTGTCATTTAGACCCGGTTCACAAAATGTCAAGCCAGATGCACTCTCTCGTGTTTTTGATCCTGAACCCTCGGCAAAGGAACCAAAGCTCATCCTTCCACTAAACTGTGTGGTTGGAGCGGTAACTTGGCCAATAGAAACAGAGGTGAAACGAGCTAACGGTGAGAGCCCGACACCTAGGGGTTGCCCCCCAAATAGGTTGTTTGTTCCTCAAACTGTGCGTCCTAAGGTCATTCAATGGGCTCACACCTCGCTGCTCACCTGCCATCCTGGGGTAAAAAAAAACATGTACGTCATCAAGCAACGGTTCTGGTGGACATCTATGGAGAAGGATGTCAAGGAGTATGTGGCCGCCTGCACCATCTGCGCCAGGAATAAGACCTCTTCCAGGCCCCAGATGGGTCTGCTCAGGCCGCTGCCTATCCCCAGTCGGCCCTGGTCCGACATCTCAGTGGATTTTGTCACCGGACTGCCAGAATCCAAAGGTAACACCACCGTCCTCACGGTGGTGGATAGATTCTCTAAAATGACACATTTTATTGCTTTGCCTAAACTGCCATCGGCCAAAGAAACGGCTGAAGTGTTGTTGCACCATGTTTGTCGTCTCCACGGTTTTCCCAAGGACATCGTGTCAGACCGGGGTCCTCAGTTTGTCTCCCGTTTCTGGAGGGAGTTTTGCAGCCTCATCGGGGCCTCTGTCAGCCTCTCTTCCGGTTACCATCCCCAATCAAATGGACAAACGGAGAGACTGAATCAAGAACTGGAAACCTGCCTCCGGTGCCTGGTGTCCCAAAACCCAGCTTCTTGGAGTAAACACCTCACGTGGGTAGAATACGCCCACAACTCATTGCCTACCTCTGCCACCGGATTGACCCCGTTCCAGTGCGTCTACGGTTACCAACCTCCCATGTTCTCAGAGACAGAGGAAGAAGTCATGGTTCCCTCGGCACACGCACTGGTCAGGCGCTGTCATGGCATTTGGGCTTCAGCACGTCGGGTCCTCCTTAGGACTTCGGCCCGCATGAAAAAAGCGGCTGATCGGCATCGCAGTCCTGCACCTGTGTACAGACCGGGTCAGAAAGTGTGGCTATCCACCAGAGACTTGCCCCTGAACGTAGTCTCTAGGAAGCTGGCACCAAGATTTGTAGGCCCATTCACTGTGGAAAAGTGTATTAACCCTGTGTCTGTTCGTTTGCGCCTGCCTAGATCACTCAGAGTCCATCCAACATTCCACGTAAGCAAACTCAAGCCGGTCAAGGAAAGCAAAATGGTTCCCGCTTCCAAGCCCCCCCCCCTCCTCCCAGGCTCATTGATGGAGGTCTGGTCTACACTGTCAAGCGTCTGCTGAAGGTCAGAAAACGAGGAAGGGGTCAGCAGTT